GTCCTGCGACGCTCCACTCCCTCCTCTACCCTCCCGCCCTCCCTCCTCCTCTTCCTCTTCCCTCCTCTCTCCTTTTTCCTCTCTTACGCCCTCCTCTCCCTTCCCTCCCTCCCTTCCTCCTCCTCCTCCTCCTCCTCCTCCTCCTCCTCCTCCTCCTCGCTCGTCTGCTGACGGGAGTTACCCACAGCCGTCAGAGTCCAAGGGAGTGACTTTCAACGATGCCGGAGGATCGTCGGAGTATTTGCATGAGGTACAGCTACGTCTCCCCCTCTTCCTCGCTCCTCTTCCTTTCTCTCTGCTCCCTCCTCCTTCCTCCCTCCTTCTTCCTCTCTGCTGCCTGCTGCCTCCATTTTCTCTCTCTTGTTCGCGCACGTTCTTGTCCCCGTTGCTTCTTCTCAATTTTCCTTTCCTAGCTCACTCGCAGGACAGGAAGCAGAATGGCAGGACGCAAGCGCTGAGTACAAGTCAGAAACTCCTAATAGGGAGTTCAGCGACAAGCTTCAGGTGCTCTTGCAAGGAGGAGCAAGAGGGGGAGGAGAGGCAGGAGGAGCAGGAGGGAGACGGAGAGGGAGGAAGAGGGAGGAGGAGCAGGGGAGAGAGGGAGGACGAGGACGAGGACGAGGACGAGGACGAGGACGAGGACGAGGACGAGGACGAGGACGAGGAGGGAGGAGGGAGGAGGAGGAGGCTTCAGATGATCTCTTGCTCAAGGACTGGATGAAGAAACCTCTCCTCTCGCTCGACCATGGCAGCACGGAAGTTTGCAAGAAAGCAGCGCTACAGGGGATGATCGAGCAAACGAGGATGGGAGAGAAGGAGACAGAGGAGGTGAGGGAGGAGGAGGAGGAGGAGGAGGAGGAGGAGGAGGGGGCTGGCGCAGGTGGGGGGCGGAAGAAGAGGGGGTGTAAGTTTGGCAGGAGGGGAGAGGAGGGGAGGCAGGAGGAGGGGGTAGCATCACGTGGTCAATCCGCTGACGGAGGAGGAGCAGCTGATAGGGCAGCTGATAGAGCAGCTGGAGACATATAAGACTTCACTGCTCGACGATGCAAGCTGACACGTGTGGGAGATGGAGGGGGAGGAGAGAAGATGCGGAGGAGGAAAAAGATGCTTCGTGACAAAGAGGGTGGGAATGAGGAGGTAGAGAGATGGCAAGGGAGGAGTCGAGTAGAGGAGGAGGAGGAGGAGGAGGAGGAGGAGGAGGAGGAGGAGGAGGAGGAGGAGGAGGAGGAGAGGCAGGAGGAGGAGGAGGAGGAGAGGCAGGAGGAGGAGGAGGAGGAGTTCAACAAAACTTGTTTACTTGCTTTTGAACGGATGAGATTGTTGCTCCTCTTGCATTCCCTTGAGATCCAAACGACACGCGACGAGACGTAAGATGGGAAAAGGGCAGAGAGAGCAGCAACAAGAGCGGGAGGGGGGGGAGGATCAAGATGAAGAAAAGGAAAGGGATGAGGATGGTGATGAGGAGCAGGAGCAGGAGGAAAGTTGGATGGGGGGTGATGATGACGATGACGATGATGATGATGATGACGACGATGATGATGATGATGACGATGACGATGATGATGATGGAGATGAGCCCAGCAAGTCGTCATGAGTTGGTCATGCTGTTCGAGGCACCCCAGCCCTGGCATCGCTCGACGAACGTCTCGCTCTTCGGTTCCGTCAGCGACGGGTCGACCGCCCCGATCTTCTTGGCCCGCATGCAGAAGATGCTGGGAAGTCCGGTATGAGGCGAAATGATCTGCCCCGTAGCCGTAACTCCTCCTCCGTTGCTGTCGAAGAGCACGATCCTCGAGTGGTAGACCATGTGGTTGCCCTGGCTGTCCTTGCGGCACATGAAGGCGATGAAGCTGGTGCCATGGCGGTAACGCACCGGTATTCTGATCGACTGAGTCTTCTCAACGCTGTTCAGGCTGACTGCGCTCCCGTCGATGGGAATCTCCAAGACGCATCGCCAGTTCGTCTCGAACCCTCCCAGGAACGCAGGGAGCTTCAGGCGGTAGTGAGCACGGAACGTGTCCATCACTCTGCATGCTCCTCCTCCGCCTGCTCCTTCCTCTTGCTCCTCCTCTGCCCCCTCTTCCTTGACCAGGCATGACCCCAGCCCGAAGTGGAAGTGCATGAAGGAAGCTGCGGACTCTGTCATCGCTGCTTGTAGCTCCATGGACGCTGACAGAACTTTCTGCCGGATCCTCCCGAAGAAGGACATCTCCTTGCTCTTGGTCTCGTGCTTGTCGTCGTCCCACCTCAGCATCTCTCGCTGCAACTCGCTCAGCGACACGTTTGACGCCTGCGCGTCGTAGTGGTAGATCCCCATCCAAACATCCGCAGGCCCTGTCACGTCTTCCAGCGTGGCGATGCCTCCCCTGCCCCTCCCCTTCAGCTCCTGATTCATCTCCTCCTCGTTCATAACGTCCACAAACGCCAGGCTGGCATGCAGCATGCCGTTCTTCCTGTACACCCGCTGCGCCTGCAGCTTACACCGCAGCGGGTCCACAATCGTCATCTGCCGGATGGTCTCGACAGCTCGATCGTCGTGCGAACGGGGCACGAAGTCGACCGGGTGGAAGCATATGACGCGAACGTTGAGGGCACTGGGAGCGATGGCGTCCTTGAGCCGGTTGAGCTCCGCGAGGTAGAGGATGAAAGACTCCTGGTCGAGAGGGTGGAGCAACATAGTCAAGTACTGGCCCGTGATCATCTTGAAGGGAGCGTGCCGGAACCAGTCCTTCGTCCTCCCCCGCAGCCCGGTGATCTTCCCGTCGGGGAGCTCTACCTCGACCACGTCCTCCGCTCTCACCAGCGTTGGCGAGTTCGACACCATGACTTCTTCGCATGCCTTCATGCTTGGCGGCTTCTTCGCCTCCTGAACTTCTCCCACGAGGAGGAAGCGCTTGTTCGCGGTGCAAGGCGTCACCCGAACGTCGCAGGTCAAGATGCTGCACGGGTCCATGGAGCTGAAGCCTGTGCAGAACCGCACAGTGACCTTGGGGCCGGCCGGCGGTGCCGACGGGCTCTGGGACTGGATCAGGATCTGCTGTATCACCCGACCGTTGTCAGGGTGGACCAGTTCCTTCAAGCTCCTTCCCAACGGGCTCCCGAGCTCTGAGTTTGTGTAGAGCTCCTCCACCAGCGTGCTGACGGCAGCCACCTTCAGGCTCGACAGCTCGACCTCGAACGCAACGAGCGACCTGCTGGACAGGAGCCCGGGCCTCATTACCTCGCACACTGACGTCGTTGCTGGGCTCCCCCCCTCGCTGTCGCGCATCGCTCTCGCTCGATTCTCCTCCTCCTTCTTGCACCTCCTCAGATAGTCCACCGTGTCCTCCAGGATGTTCAACAGTGACCTCCCCTCCGATCCCAACGACCTCTTCCCCTGCCCCTTCCCGACCAGCCGCCTGGAGTCGTCGGGCAGAGCTTCGTCCAGTCGGGACAAGAGCTGCTTCTGTCCGTTCCTCAGCATCTTCTTTCTCGCTGCCCGCATCCTGTTCCACTCCCTCTTGGAATCGGCGCTCATGGGCTTGTCTGCAGATTCTGACGGCGACTCCGACATTTTGCGGGTGCGGATCGCGCGGGAATGTGAAGAGGTGGTTGGGAGTTGCCTCAGGTCGACATCTGACTCGCCTGCAAGGACTACATCTCAGTATAGCTCCAGTGTGTACAACCAAGACAAGAGGACAGCAAAGGAGAAGACATGTGAGGGACAATCAGAGTTAGAAGCGTGATGATCATAAGAAAGGGCCAAGACAGGGAGAAAACACGAAGAAATCGTCTCCAAGCGACTCATCGTGTCGTTTTTCATAATCTGACTTCCTCATCTTTTGCCTTTCTCTTGTCCACTTTGTCTCAAACCCATCTGCTCCTGACTTGTTGGATTGAGATCTGACAACTGTTAATTGTTGCTCTCGAGCATTATGCATTCCGTTTTCTACTTCAGTCACATCTACATCGTAGACATCATCATCATCATCATCATCACAGCAGCAGCAGCAGCAGCAGCAGCACTGCCGCTACCGCTGCCGCTGCCGCTGCCACTACCAACAATTACAACAAGCACAATCCATAACACCATATGTATGATTAATCAATCAATAATCGCGCCTGATTTCCGTCATTCACTTGCATTTTTCTCTTCCCTCCTTGCTTACACCTTTGCCTACCCTGACTTCCTTTCATATTTTTCATCCTTCCCTTGGTTCTCTTTCTACTACTCCTGCTCCTCCTGCTTCACCTGCTATTTCTGCTACTGTTCCTAAATATTTATGTTCCTCCTACTATACCTGCTCTTCCTGCAACTACTATTCACTACTTCTGCTCCTGCTCCTCCTTTTCCTGCCCCTAATGATCCTCCTCCTCCCTCTCCCTCTCCCTCTCCCCTCCTCTCCCTCTCCCTCTCCCTCTCCCTCTCCCTCTCCCTCTCCCTCTCCCTCTCCCTCTCCCTCTCCCTCTCCCTCTCCCTCTCCCTCTCCCTCTCCCTCTCCCTCTCCTCCTCCTCTCCTCTGTATCAGTGAAGGTAGAAAATGTTTCTCTCGCTTCCCTGTGGAGGCATCATACCCCCGCTGCCTCACCACCCCACCACTCTACCACCCCACCTCTCTCAAACTATCAGGTTATTGCCTATCCATGTGCTTTACTTCCACTTCAAGAACTTCACCCCTATCTTCCTGGTTCTTTGTAGCTGTACAGTACCGGATACTATGACCCCTGCATCTAGACAACCTACCCCACAGTCATCACCACCCCCTAAATACAAACAATTTGACTACCCCCACCTATCTGTTGCCGTGCACACTCCGGCGCCATGTGCTCCCAAAACCCTATTAATAATAAAAACTTTTCGACTCCGTACAAACTGATTATAATTATATAAAAAGTACTGGATATATTATATGTTTATAAAATTTGGATGAACCCGGTCCTTTCCCTACTCAACGGTATGACTTAACCCCCTCCGTTGACCTATCTTTACTATACATGTAGTAAATATCTTTCTGTCTGCCAAACCTCCCACCCCACCCCCTGATTTTAGCTAATTCCCCGACCGTGTCGTTCACAGCCCTCTGCAGGGTGGTGTGGTCATTTCATGTCCATGACCCCTGTCAGATCCACATATTTTGATAGGAAATGAGGGGTACTGGATGACCATGGAAAGTAGCTCACGGCAGTCGGTTTGCTGACCGGAACTTTTAAAATTAATTACGAAAATAAGTGTTCTTATATCTGAGGAGTAAAACAGATCTGAAAAAGATACTTTTCGTGTTATCTCATGTCTCCCGTGATAAAAAGTGTAAAAAAGAGCAAAAAGGGTGAAAGCATGAAACCGGCCGAGGAACTTGATGAGTAACATGAACGAGAGCAGAAGCAAGGTGGAGGGAGGGAAGGATGGCGGAGGAGTCAGAATTGGTGATGAATCATGCCTTGAGAGGTAGAGGGAGGTGAGAACGAGAACGAGAACGAGAACGAGAACGAGAAAGGGTGTGGGTGAAAGGGGATGAGAAAGAGGTTTTGTCGAAACGAAAAAGTCATGGTGAAGCGTATAGACGAAATGTTGCTGCCATCAGCGGATAGAAGTAACGGAAACAAGAGTGTATCCATCAGCAAATAGGGTTGCAAGAGAAAAGGCTTTGGATGTCTTCCGCTTCTGAGCTGAAATCTTTTGTTTCGCAATGCTAGGGCTATCATACACAGAGTATACCATCTTTTTTGGATAGCAAACTGAGCATTCAGAGACTTTGGTACTGTAGTGTCACAGAGTGGAACGATAAGTTACTGTGGAATGATAAGTTAGAGTCTCAGCGCATGTTTGGCTGTCATTGATTTGGTGCACTCATTGTCTCTCTGACTGCAGTATCTTGTTGTGGACAAGAACAATCGAAGGGCTCTCAACATCTTCCCATGCATTCGCTCCCTTGCTCGTTGATTGTCAATAAACTCAGATGGTTTCTTTGTATGTGTTCTCTTACAGAACAACCCTTGGCGCCTTTCCTGGGAGGCATGTTGTACACACAATCTTCAGGAATGAGGGAGAACACCAGAGTAATCAATGCTGCGTTTACTACAACACATCGAGCACGACAGGCTACTGCAGTCAGCTAGGACATGAACCTACTCCCTACGGTATGAGTCTTTGGTCCAGTGTGCCACAAGGCAGCAAGGAAGATTGCTCTACTGCTGCTTTCTAGCTAGAACATGCAGCCCTGCCCCTGCCAAACGTGCCTGTTGTAGACGCCATGTGGTTGCTAACATGCTCTGGCGGACAGCAGTTGTAGGTGAGGAATCGTTGTTCTTCATTCGATTTCCTGTTGTCGTGGACCGGAGCAGGAAGTCAAGGTGTGGATACTGTTTGATTTCTTGAACGTTCAATAAACGGTCAGCATTCAAAATGAACTCAAGGCTCTGAGGATGTAAAACATGCGGTTCTTTTTTCTTGACATCCCCTTTATAGGAGGTTGTAGGCAAGAAGAAAAAGGGAAGCTCTTCATTCACGTCGAGGTGCTTTCAAGCTGTAGATGTCCTACCTTTGTCAGATAAGACGCTATCTCTGACCAACCTTGATGCCCGCCTCTTGTTTACTCTTGTTCGCCTCACTCCAGCTTCACTCTCAATCGTCAGGAAGTCTGTAATCAATAGGTTTTATCCCCCCAGCCTGCCATTGCTCGTCGAGAACCTCTCCTCAGGCAATGAAGAAGCTTCAAGTCTTACGTAGCGATCTACGTGAAGATCTGCATAACTCCAGCGGGCTTGCCTCAAGTCTCTTGCTGCCTAACACCTTGAAAGTTTTTGTCGATGACATGATCTTGCAAACGGGTGTAGTTTACCATCCGTACCGTCTGCTGCCTGGCCGGCGTTGTATTCATCGCTGCCGTGAGAAGATTCTATAATCATCACAGCTTGTTTGTTGAAACATTCATGAAGCCATTTGTGTTGTTATGCAAAAAAACATGCGATCGTCAAAACATAGGCAGCTTGGAGTTTCGTGGAGGTTCTCTCCACAGGCTAGTGTATGTCAACATATTTCTCATCGTTTTCCAAATAGTCATAGAGAATGTGCAATGTCTATAGACAATGTTCTCCTCCTCCAAGTCTCCTCACCTACCTCTCAACTTCTGCACCTTACCGTCTTCCAATAGCACTCTCCGTTCATCATCTCAAACTTGTTCCTCTCCCTCCCTCCCTCTCTCCCCATTCCTTCGTCTCCCCGCAACTTTCACCATGACTGCTCTTTACTACTACAACCTCGAACATGATTCGTTCTTTTTTTTAATTGACTGAAAGGCAAACGAAGTAGGAAAGGGTAGTCTTTACAAACCCGCCTCAACAGAATCCTAGGAAAAGGAAAAGGCAGCAAAAACCTCTGCTCAAACCACTTTGACTAAATTTTCAGTAGCAGGATTAATTGACTAAATTCTAAAATACCGTTAGGGGGTGTGTCGGTCGAGGACCCTATCGAGGTAGGTCGAAAAGGAGGTAGGGGTGGTCCTGGGGTAGGGGAAATGCTGGGAGGGCTGGAGGAGGCGCGGAGGAGGAGGAGAAGGGCGGAGGAGGAGGCGCGGGAGGCCTGCGAAGAGGCTGAGAAGATCTTAGCGAGAGCTCATGGTGAGCTCGGGAAGCTGGAGGGGAGGAAGAAGCAGCTGCAGGTGAGGAGAGGTCTTTGCTGGAAGCACGACTTAGTCTGACATGTGCGTTTTTGCGGTATGCTGTCGATCCAGAAAGAGATTGTTGAGAAGCGAAGATCAAACGATGAGACCGAGCACAAAATGAAAGAAAACTTGAACAGGCAGGAGATCCTGCTCAAAGGCCAACAGCAGATCTATGAGACGTTCCGCCAGACCCTGTTCAGCAGGCTCGTTGCTGCTTCCACGACTCTGCTGAGGAGAAACACGATCGCAAAACCTTTCTGGCGACTTGCCGACTACTGTCATAGCAAACGATACACGAGAAGGTGTATGAGCCGGATGATACATCGCAGAGATAGAGGGAGGTTGCGGCAAAGCTTCGATGAATGGGAACAACAGTGTCAAGCTCGGGGAAGTCTGCAGAGAACAAGCAGACCGTGGTTGAGCACTCACAAGAAGCATGACAACACCAAGTCTGTTGAGATCAAAGACTTTCATGTCTCCCATCCACTGGGAAGACTTGAGTCACATCAACTAGCAGGACTTGAGATCTCGAGCGTGCCCCTTGCAAGCCCCTTGAGTGAGCGGCAGGAGCTGAGCGTTTCTGAGAGTCCGATGAGCGGGGGGAGGAGAATCGGAATCCTGAGAACAGGAGCAGAGAGTCTCACCATGGCGCTGGAAGCGAGCAGACGACAACACGGACTCACTGACAACCTGCACGAACTGGAACCTTGTAGAGTGATCACACCGAAAGCTCGAACGAAGTGGATGTATCCGCACGAGGCTTCTAGTGAGATGGAAGTGAGAAGGAGCCTGACGTTGATCAGCCCTGACCTCTTTCAAGAGGATGAAGATGCTCCCTCGACTGCTGGAGCTTCTCGTGAGGAGGGAGGAGGTGCTTCGCCGTCTTTGGGAGCGCATGAGGGAGGGGCAGTCGGCGAGCAGGAGGGAGAAGCTGTGGAGCGGGGCGATGGGTATGTTGCAAAGGCTAAGCTGAAGTTGAAGGAGAAGATTGACGCTATGTCCTCGATAGTAACTCGAGGAAGTGGCAGGGAAGGGATGGTGAAGCAGGAGCAGGAGCAGACTCGGTGTGCAGGACAAGTTATGGTGCTGGGTTCGGGCCCCACAGCTGATGAAAGCGGAGAGCAGAAAAGGGGGGACGTAGTGATGACCCTAGGAAGGACCGAAGGGGAGGAAGAAGCTGGAACAGCGGAGCGAGGGGAGCATGGACGAGCGACGGACGTGAAGAGTCGTGGCGAGTCAGCTGTCAGGCGGCCAGATGCTGCGGGAGGAGAGCAAGGGAGGAGGAGGTCTGGGCTTGTAACGGATGCAACAGCAGGTGAAACGGACACGTCGACCAGAGTCGCTCGAGAGTCTCCTCCCACTACGACCCCGCGGGCCCCAGCAGCTCCGGCCAGTGAGGATGCGACAGCAGCGGTCAAACCCATGGCGTCAGCTACCTGTGCTCCTCCTGCTACTACTCCAGCTGCACCTTCACCTGCTCCTCCTGCTCCTACTCCAGCAGCTTCACCTGCTGCTGCTCCTACTCCAGCAGCAGCTCCACATACTCCAGCAGCAGATCCACATACTCCAGCAGCAACACCAGCAGCAGCTTCATCCGCCGCTACAGCCGCGGTAACGACGAGGCCTCAGCTCCCCCCAGCCCCGGCCGGCGGGGAGCCCAGCAAGGGAGGGACGAAAGTCAAGGGCTCTACACTTGCTGAAACTTGTCGTGCAGCAGCTTCAGCGTCTCTGCCTCCCCCGACGGTCAAGTCGACAGCAAGCCAGCCAACCCCGGCCCGAAACAATGCCGTTCCAGCCGCCCAGGCACAGGGGAACACTGCTTCAGCTCCAGTTGCTGCTCCTGCTCCAGCTTCTGCTCCTGCTCCTGCTCCAGTTGCTGCTCCAGCTGCTGCTAATCCAGCTTCTGCTCCAGCGGCTGCTCCTGCTCCAGCTGCTGCTTCTGCTCCAGCTCCAGCTGCTGCTGCTCCAGCTACTGCTGCTGCTGCTCAAGCTCCTGCTGCTGCTCCAGCTCCAGCTCCAGCTGCTGCTCCAGCTCCAGCTCCAGCTCCAGCGGCTGCTCCAGCTCCAGCTCCAGCTCCAGCTCCAGCTCCAGATCCAGCTGCTTCCTCAGCTCTAGCGGCTGCTCCAGCTCCAGCCGCTGCCCCAGCTCTAGCGGCTGCTCCAGCTGCTGCTCCTGCTGCTGCTGCTGCTGCTCCAGCGGCCGCTTCAGCTGCTGCTGCTCCAGCTGCTGCTCCAGCGGCTGCTCCAGCTCCAGCTCCAGCTCCAGATCCAGCTGCTTCCTCAGCTCTAGCGGCTGCTCCTGCTGCTGCTCCAGCTGCTGCTCCTGCTGCTGCTGCTGCTCCTGCTGCTGCTCCAGATGCTGCTGCTGCGCCAGCGGCCGCTTCAGCTGCTGCTGCTCCAGCTGCTGCTGCACCAGCTTCTGCTCCAGCGGCTGCTCCAGCTGCTGCTGCACCAGCTTCTGCTCCAGCGGCTGCTCCAGCTGCTGCTGCTCCAGCTCCAGCTCCAGCTCCAGCTCCAGCTCCAGCTCCAGCTCCAGCGGCCGCTCCAGCGGCCGCTTCAGCTGCTGCTGCTCCAGCTGCTGCTCCAGCTCTAGCGGCTGCTCCAGCTCCAGTGGCCACTACAGCTGCTGCTCAAGCTCAAGCTCCAGCGGCCGCTCCAGCTCTTGCTGCTCAAGCTTCAGCTGCTGCTCCAGCTGCTGCTCCTGCTGTTCAAGCTGCTGCTCCAGCTCCTGCTTCAGCTGCTGCTCCAGCTCCTGCTTCAGCTGCAGCTCCTGCTTCAGCTCCAGCTCCTGCTCCAGCTCCAGCTCCTGCTCCAGCTCCAGCTGCTGCTTCAGCTCCTGCTCCTGCTCCAGCTCCTGCTACTGCTCCTGCTCTAGCGGCTGCTCCAGCTCCAGCTCCTGCTCCAGCTCCAGCTCCTGCTCCAGCTGCTGCTCCTGCTATTCAAGCTCCAGCTCCTGCTGCTGCTCCTGCTGCTTCCTCAGCTCCAGCTGCTGCTCCTGCTATTCAAGCTCAAGCTCCAGCGGCTGCTCCAGCAACTGCTGCTGCTCCTGCTGCAGCGGCTGCTCTTGCTGTTCAAGCTCAAGCTCCAGCTCCTGCTCCAGCTCCAGGTCCTGCTACTGCTCCTGCTCTAGCGGCTGCTCCAGCTCCAGCTCCAGCTGCCTCCCCAGCTCCAGCTGCTGCTCCTGCTGCTCAAGCTCAAGCTCCAGCTCCAGCGGCCGCTCCAGCTGCTGCTGCTCCAGCTGCTGCTCCAGGTCAATCTGCTGCTCCTGCTCTAGCGGCTGCTCCAGCTCCAGTGGCTGCTCCAGCTGCTGCTCAAGCTCAAGCTTCAGCGGCCGCTCCAGCTCCAGCTCCAGCTCCAGCTCCAGCTCCAGCCGCTGCTCCAGCTCCAGCTCCAGCTCCAGCTCCAGCTGCTGCTCCAGGTCCTGCTGCTATCGCTGTTCCTTCTCAGCCTGTGGTAGTTAAATTGCAGCTCCCCGTTGCCCTCGCAAGCCAGCAGGTGACAGTTTCAGCCTCATCGGTCGTTGCTGCTTCCAAGGTTATGAGCCCGCAGCTTCCCGCAGCCCCGGCAGGCAAGCAGGCGGCAGCGCCCTTCAAGTCGCCAGCACCTGCTGAAGCAGCAGCAGCAGCTGGAGCTGGTGCACCACAAACTGCAGCAGGAGCGACAGCACCTTGTGCCAAGTCGGCAGTGAAACAGCAAATCTCTCCAGCAGTGGCTGGCCAGGAGCCCAGCAAGGCTGCAGCAGCTGTCATGTCGCCCCTAGCGCCTGCTGCTGCTGCTGCTTGTTCTACGGATGCGCAAGAGATGATTAGACTCAGTTCCGGCCCAGCAGTTTCGACAGTCCAAGACGTGGCGACAGCCGTCAAGCCGAAAGGATCTGCACCAGCAGCTTCAACGGCTGTAGCTGCATCTTCAACGGCTGTAGCTGCACCTGCAGCTCCGACCAGCCAGCCCAGCAGCAGCTCGACGTCAGTCGCCAAACCGCCGCCAGCTGCCATTCCAACCGCTGCAACGACAGCAAAGGCAAAGGAGATCGCAAGTGCAGGAGCTCCGACGACATCTGAGCTCTCAGCTGCTGCTGCTCCCGCTGCTGCTTCTTCGGGGGCGAAGAAGTCGCAAGTCTCCACAGGTCCAGCCGGCCAGCAGCTCAGGAAGGATGCGACTGCAGCCGTCAAGCCTCCAGCACGTGATGCTGCTACTATGACAGCTGAAGCCCCACCTGTTGCCACTGCTGACGCATCGGCTGCTACCACTGCTGACATCGGCAGAGCTCCCGTCAAGTCGCCAGCAGCTGCTGAAGCAGCAGCAGCTGGAACTGCTGCTGGAGCTGCTGCTGGAGGTGCTGGTGCTGGTGCTGGTGCTGGTGCTGCAAGAGCTGCTGGTGCTGGTGCTGGTGCATCAGGGACTGCAGCATTTGTGGGGTCCACATCAAGGCAGCAAATCTCTCAAGCAACAGCCAGCCAGGAGCCCAGCAAGGAAGCGACTGCACCTCTCGCTCCAGCACCTTCTCCACCTTCTGCTGCTTCAGGCCCGCAGCCTCCCGCAGCTCCGATCATCAAGCAAGAGGCTCCAGACGTCAGGCCGCCAGTCTCAGCTTGCTTGACCGCTGCTGCTACGGGTAGCAAAGCTTCTACTGCCTCTCCTGCTCCAGCTCCAGCTCCTGCTCCAGCTCCACAAGCTGCTGCTCCAGCTCCAGCTACTGCTCCAGCTCCACAAGCTCCAGCTCCAGCAGCAGCAGCTACTGCTCCTTGTGCTCTAGCCTCGGCCTCTGCTGCCCCTGCCCATCCTCCATCTGCCCACTCTCAGCTCCCATCGGCCCCGGTCAGCCAGCTGCCCAGCAAGGACGCGATCGCACCCGACCAGTCAACGTCTGCTGCTGCTGCTACAGCAGCAGCTGCTGGAGCTTGTGAGAGGACGACGAGAGGCCCGTCGGATCCAGGAGGAGGAGGCAGCAAGGAGGAGGGAGCAGCGGTGGAGTCGCCGGAAGCTGTTGAAGCTGTGGGTGAAGGAGGAGGAGGAGGTGAAGTTGGTGACGCTGCTGCTACTTCTTCCAAGGTTATGAGCCCGCAGCTACCCGCAGCCCCGGCAAGCAGGCAGGAGGCAACGGCCGACAGGTCACCAGCACCTGCTGCTGGGGCTGGGGCTGGGGCTGGTGGTGCATCCGGGACTGCAGCAGGAGGGTCTGAACCTTGTGCGGATACGACAAGGGTGCCGGGCCCAGCAGCAGCAGCCGGCCAGGAGCCCAGCAAGGAAGCGACTACAGTGAAGGCGCCAGCGCCTGCTGCTGCTTCAGGTCCATCCACCACGACAGCTGTGGCATCTGCTGCTACCTCGGCAGCGTCGGCATCTCTTCTTCATCCCACTGCTGCTCCTGCTCTCAAGTCATCGAACGAGACGACGACAGGACCGCAGCCTCCCGCAGCTCCGATCATCAAGCAAGAGGCTCCAGACGTCAGGCCGCCAGTCTCAGCTTGTTTCCCCGCTGCTGCTACGGGTAGCAAAGCTTCTACTGCCTCTCCTGCTCCAGCTGCAGCTCCACAAGCTGCTGCTCCTGCTCCAGCTGCTGCTGCTGCTGCTGCTTGTGCTCTAGCCTCTGCCTCTGCTGCCCCTGCCCATCCTCCATCTGCCCACTCTCAGCTCCCATCGGCCCCGGTCAGCCAGCTGCCCAGCAAGGACGCGATCGCACCCGACCAGTCAACGTCTGCTGCTGCTGCTACAGCAGCTGCTGCTGCATCCGCTACAGCTGGAGCTTGTGAGAGGACGACGAGAGGCCCGTCGGATCCAGGAGGAGGAGGCAGCAAGGAGGAGGGAGCAGCGGTGGAGTCGCCGGAAGCTGCTGAAGCTGTGTGTGAAGGTGGAGGAGGAGGTGCTGCTGTTGGTACAGCAGGGGAGCTGGTATCGAAGGAGACAAGGGCGTGGGGTTCAGCAGCAGCGGCTGGTCAGGAGCCCAGCAAGTGTGATACAACTCAGGAACGCGCAAGCTCGGAGGCAGGGGAATCGGAGGTGCCGTGTGCTGCTGTACGGGAAGGAGAGGGGGGCGGGGAGGAAGACGGGAGTGTGGGAGTTTCAGTCTCCTGCTCGCCTTCCTCCTCCTTCTCCTTGAGCTTCTCAGGCAGGCGAGCTGGAGGGCGCAGGAGCAGCGCGGAAGGGCGCGAAAGCAGCGAGGGGGGATGGGCTCAGGTACGGGAGGACCTGTCACTGTCGACCTCTCCGTCTCGTTCCATCAGCAGCTCTCAGAGGTCGTGGAAGAGCAAGGTAGGGATAGGAGCTTACTTTGAGCGAGTCGACAGCAAGGAGCTCCTTCGGGTCAAGTCAGTCGTCGACAAGAGCCCAGCTGCCGCATGCCGCAAAGTTGCAGTGGGGGACTACATCGTGGCAGTTGACGGCTCCTCGGTCGCCGGGTTTCGCCTCGCTCAGCTTGCTGAGCTGCTGCTGGGACATGTGGGATCGAGTGTAGAGTGCACCTTCATGAGGGAGGAGACGGAGGACTTGTACAGCGTTACTTTCATGAGAGGGCTGTCGGCGTGAAAGGAGGAGGAGAGAGAGGGGGGGAGAGAGGGGGAGGTTGTCAAATGCTGATACCATCGTTGAGAACCCTTTCAACTTGTAGAGTGAAGTGAGAAAAGCATGTCAAACAGTGTCGCTCTCCTGCAGGCATCGGTCCGCTATCTGCCCCAGTCGGACGACCTTCTTCAGTACCAAAGTCCACAGCGATCGAAGCCCGATGAAGCCCATGACCGATCGAGTGCGCAGTAGCAAGAATTGCGAGATCGATCCTCGCTCCCCTCCCCACAAGCTCCGCCCGAGGCTGGACAGGATCCCCCCATTGGTTTCCTCCACCTCTCCGAACGTGATAGCTGGGAGGTGGGGCCTTGGCAGGTCACTCCCGACCTCCCTGACCTCATCTATGCCATGCTCGCGCGCGTTACGACGCAATACAAGAGAAGTACCGGTCTCTTGGGGGAGGAGGCCTACGGCAGGCGAGCTCCAGCGAGCCGACGACTGCAAGTCCCTCTCCGACGGTACTCGCACGACCGTAGCACCTTCCCGTTGGCTAGAAGATCCGTGGGGACTGTTGTGTGGTACCTGGCTGTGAGGCTACCTCTTAGTGTCTTGTCTCAAGGTCAAGCTGAGAAAGAGCAAAGGCAATCTGGAGATCCCCTTCATACTGCTAAGCTTCTGCTAGAGGATGGGGAGAAGGAATTCGCTCGCCCCACAGCTGCCTCAACTTCGCGGCCTCTTCCTCATGTTCAACGGCTCCAATCTGGGTGCACACCTTCTCGAGATGTAGTCTTGGATGATTGGAGATGAAAGAATAGTCGAAACTTCAGGTCGCTGAGGTGTGCGCGATGAGTCAGCATGACGCAGACAAGCAGGCGGCACAGGGACGCCCTCCCTTCTCACCTTCGAAGGATCCTTGTCGAGGGTCAGGTCGAGCAGCTCGACGAGCGGTGGAGATCTTACGGGAGTGGAAGGGCGCGGCATCGAAGGGCCCGAGACAACGCAGCGAGCGAGCTCCTGCAAGTCCTCGATCTCTTGGTAGGGGATGGCGCTGTAGCACAGGCAGAAGACGATGGCTCCTAGCGACCAGACGTCTGCCTTTGTGCTCCAGTCATAGAGGTACTGCCGTTTCACGCTAAACGTCCCGTCACTCCTGACGCCATCCGGGAATTTCTCCTGCAACGTGGAATGATCAGACTGGGAGAACATGCAAGGAGAACGCAACGGATACCTCCAGCATCTCAGGTGCTGTGTACCGCACTGTCCCCGTACAGCCTGATCTCCTCGAAGCGCCTCTGTTCTCCGATAGCCTCTGACTTTGCCCCAAGTCGGAGATCATGAGGCGATGGCCTATGTCGATCCCTGAGTCGCTCTGTCGCCCTGACTGCACCAGGATGTTTTCAGGCTTCAGGTCACGATGGACGATGTCCATGGAGTGGAGATACTGCAGCCCTGAGCAGATGTCCATGGTGTAGAGGAAGATCTGCTCCTCCGAGAGAAAGCCTCGTTTTCTCTGCGGCAGGTCGAGGGCCAACAAGGAGTGAAGGTTTCCTGAGTTCGCATATTCCATAAGGATGAAGAGGCAAGGGACCATGGGAGTGAAAGGAGAGCTCTGGTGCGGTTCCAGCCAAGAGTGCATGTACCTCACGACGTTGTTGTGTGATAGAAACTGCAAGTTTCTCACTTCCCGCAGCACTTTGTGCAGCCACTGTCGATTGTCGCCGACCGGGGCTACCTTGACCGCATAAGTACCCAGATGCACTCCATCCATGACGTGCCGGCACTCGAAGACACTACCATAGGCTCCTGTCCCGATTCGGCGGACTTGATGAAAAAATCTTGCATAGTAGCCGACGTTCAGAGAGTCTGATGGCAACGAGTTCGACCCGCTGCTCGGCGGGACGTCGTTAACGCTCGAGTGAGCGTTTGACTCTGGTTTTGACTGCACAGCAGCGGGTCTGGATGCCCTTGCAGCTGCTCTTGGCTCATCTCCTTCAAGGATCTGGGGAGATTCTCGTCGCAAAGGCTCTTCCGAACGGCATCTCATGTCCGGGGACGGGAGAGCCGGCAAGGCCAGGTTGATCGTCCCCGCATTGAATCCTCCGTAGTCCTCTCTATCGCTCCCTTCATCGCTTCTGCTCTGCTGCAACTGGGCAGAGAGCAGCCCAAAGTAACGAGGAGAGACGTACCGCGCGTCGGCTTGTGGAGCACTCTCCTCGTACTCTGGTGTGTTGTTGGGCAATGGTCGATTACAGTACGGGCAGTGCCGTGTGCATGTAGAGAGGTTCTGAACCTGAGCAAGCTGTCGCTGGTTGTCCCAGACTACAACCTTCCTGCTGAGAGGATCGTGGAGCACAACTTCTAGATGCGAGTTGGGGACTTGGGCTATCGTCCCAGCTGCACGCTCGTTGACCTCGGAGCCGTCCTGTGCCGCTGCGCTGATGATGATGTCAGGAGCGCTGAGTTGAACACGAGCTGGCATCACCTGGTCTGAATGATGAGAGGAGGAGGAGGCACAATCAAGTCGAGAGAAGGACGCGGGCTCCTCCTAGAAGCCTCTTGATTAGAGTCATTCGACCCTTCTTCTTCACCGTGCTGCAAGGAATGTAAGGCGATGAAACAGCTCCTGTGGAGTTTACCTGCTGTCCTGGGGAATTGTTTTGCATGAGACAGTTTCTCTGATGCAAGAGACACTCAGTCATGAACAAGAATAAGCAAACAATCATCTTGCACTAGGCCGGCGCAGAAATGTGTGAAATTCTGTACCCAAAGCATGCTATTCTGGCGGTCTAACAATCTTTCTTCTTCCATCTTGTCCTAGCAACTTCAATCTTCATCGTTTCCTCACTGTCTCCCCCCCTTCGTTCACTTCCTCCTCCTCCTCCTCCTCCTCCTCGCCCTCCCCTTCCTACTACGGCTGGAGGCGCATCTTCGGCGAAACCGTTACCTGAACGAAGAAACAGTTACATATTCCGTTACGTTTTTATCCTTTTCCAACGGTAAATCACGGATGGTAACGATCATGAGATTTCTAGAAGGACCTGGGAGTAGGGGTACTTTTACTATTCTATTTGGGGGTACTGGTGTTCAAGGGGTAGAAGTTGGGGGTTGCCAGGGTGGCAAATGAGACTACGAGTTTCTACCGGATGGGGTGAATCTTGGCCGGAAATATAAAGACGTAGTAACATATTTAACACAAGTCTCTAAATTTTAACCTTAAATTTTGGATATATAAGTATATAATCGAATTATTTTCTAACAATGTTTGGCACGTCGGAAAATTTCCCTACATTGTTGGACTTGCAGGAAACATGGGGGTCTAAATTTTCTGTGTCCCACCAAATTGACAAGGAAGCTTTGAAACTTTACAGCAAATATATATTCAATTATGAAATTTTGTACTACGATGTGAATTTATTTGGGCCTAGATTGGTTCATACGGCGGCCGCCATGCAGCAACGGAGAGGAGCCGAAGGGCGGAGAATGCAGCGATCGACCGCATGCTCCACCTCCGTCACATCCTCCTCCTCTTTGCAGTGTGTTAGGAACAGATCTACCCGTGTAAGCGATGCATCATCTTCTTCCTGCCTTGTCCTCCTCCTCCTCTGCTCTTTCCTCGTTGCAAGCGAGGCATTCCTCAGCCCTGCTCTGCCGCTTCGTTCCGCATGCTCTGCACGGACTTCACTGGACCTCCATTCCTTTGCTCGTTCCTCGCGCCTGGCTGCCCCCACCACGATCAGCATGGTCGAGGGAGATTCCCTTGTCAAGCGTATGAAGCAGAAGGCTAGCAAGTTTCTTGCTACGGCGGCGATTGCGGCATCTTTGTGCGTGATGCCCAAGGCATCGAGTGCAGCTCTTGCCGATCTGGAGCTCCAAGGAGACTTGGATGAGGATGTGGAGCAGGTGGAGATTGAGTACACCGGGATGAGGAAGCTCTCCCTGGGAGAGAACGTGGTCAAGTACGGCATCCTTGTGGGAGTTTTCGGAGGGGCGGCTGTATGGTCTTACTATGAAGGGAAGCGTGAGGACCGAGAGGAGGAGGAGAGGGTGAAGGCAGAGGTTGAGAGGATCGAGAAGTGGAAGAAGGAGTTCATCGACATGGAGGATGTCGTTTCTGACGATGACCTCCTCTCCTCGCTCAACAAGCGTCTCTCCGGCGAGGCGGGCGAGGAAGTGAAGGACCTGGATGGAACTGGAGCCCTTCCTGAGGGATACGACCCGGAGAAGGCCATCATTCAGGACCAGATGCGCAAGATGGAGGAGGAGATGGAGAAGGAGCGCCTGAAGAAGGAGCAGGAGCAGGAGGCCGCCCTGAAGGATATCACTGTTGAGGAGGACAAGCCAGCGCAGGTGGATGCTGAACAGCTCGAGAGATTGAAGAGGATGTTTGGAGGAGGAGGAGACAGCCCTACCGACAAGAAGGACAAGTGATGGCCAGTCAGAGCAGGAAGCTTGTGTGCTGTCAAGTAAACTTTTCCAATTATTGCCAGAGCCTGTTTCCTTGCCTGACACTTGACATGTTACAAGTGTCATGGTCCGCGCGTGCAAGTGAGTATGTTGCGAGGCACGGGTATATCATGCCGTTCTGCCATCTTGCTCTTCTTGCCGCCGCGTGCACTCCAGCGGCTTGCGCTCGGTTGTCACAGGGAGAAAGACGAGGAATGAGCATGAGGTGAGCACGAGATCCTCTGCCTTGACCCGTGCAGAACGCGATCAAAGAGATCTTTCCTTCCCCTTTACTTTGCAGCTGCTTTCTCCCCTCCCGCCCCTGCTGCTGCCCCCGCTCCTCCCGCTGTTGCCGCTCCTCCCGCTGTTGCCGCTCCTCCTGCTCCTCCTGTAACCCCTGTCAGTGTTGATTGGACAACTTGCTCATGACAACTCGGAGCACCTTGCTGCTGCTGCTCTTTCGCCGCATTGTCCGCTGCTCCTGCTTCGTAGCTCGCGTCAAACAATCGACCCATAGCTGCTGGAGGTTACCCTGCTGATTTCCGTGCTCGGCGCCAGTGTGCTGCGCGTTAGGCTGGTTCTGCTCAGCATGGGCAGCTCCATGAGTAGCGTCAGCTGCTTGATGTTGCGATCCTTCCTCTGTAAGCCAACAAGGAAGAGCGAACACGTGAGGAACAAAATAAAGGGTTATCGATAAACTTGGGTACCTTTCTTCCCACCTTCGGCAACTTGCTGAGCACTCCCTGCCTGGTTAGCAGCAGCTGATCCACCGGGTAAGATGATCGCAAGCTTCTAGAGCTCTTCAATGTCCACCTTGTCCGTCAGCCCCTTGATGGCTCGGTGAATCTTGGGATGATGCTCCTCCTCCCGTTCCCTTGGCCTGCCCCTCGTCTTCAGACTCGGTCGATTTCCACTGTATCAGACGAAAACCTCTGCCGCCGCTGGCGCTGGCGCTGCAGCGTCTCCTCCCTTGTGAGCTGCTGCATTGATGGCCTCCTTGGCTGTCTGCAGCTCCTTCTGCAGTTGCTCCGCATGACCCTGAACAAGAACGGTCAACCATTTCAGGTAGAAGCCAACTAAGGTCACCTTGCACTCGTTCAGCTCAGTTTCAAGTTTCTGCAATCATGTTGTCGATCAGCAAGAAAGCAAGTATTGCAATGGCGGAACCTGGGAGCCTTCAGCTCCAGTTTTGAGTTTTTGTGCTTCCTGAACGATGCAAGTCAATTTGCTTGCGAAGAATGTTTCCCGATCGCACCTGTTTGCACATTTCTAGGGAAGTCTTAGCGTTCTGAACTTCAATCTCAGCTTGTCCTGACACGACATCAGACACGACTATATTTCTTCTCTCTCCCTCTTACTTTTCACTTCCACCTTGTCTGATTTCTCCTTGGAAACCTCCTCCTGCTCCCGTTTTCACCCATAGTCCTGTACAAGTGATGGAAGAACCTTGATGTTGCTCAGCTCCCTGTGACATTCTTGAAGTCCTCGGTCCAACTGCAACCAAGTTTCACTCCATCTAACTTATCTCACGCACTACACACACCTTGTCCTTGAGCGACTGGGAGGACGACTCCCCTTCCTTGCACATGGTGAGCTGCGATTTCATCTCCTGCACCTGCACATTTCGATCCGTCAACGCGAAGCGATCCGGCTGGACATCTTCGTCCTCCACCACCTGCTTTGTCAGAGTATCCTTCTCGGACTGAAGCTGCGCAGTCTGAATCTCCACGGACTTCGCCTGGTTGAGATGTTCGCTGTGCAACTTGTTCACTTTCTCCAGCTCCCTTCTCAACTCATCGCGCTCCTGTACCAAGTGAGGTTGAGAAGGATACCATCAGCACACGAGCTGACCTGAACTGCCTGAACCACGTCCTTCTTCAATGAAACAATCCGCTCTTGTGTCACATGGTGAACGTCCCGGAGGAAAATCCCACCTGAAGAGCATAGATTTGACAGTCACGAATAATTCAAACCAAACACTCATCCTGTTCTCACTGCTCAACATAATCTCTGAGAACACTGTTGTCCCTCGCTCCTCAACATCCTTACTCCACTTCGTTTCCAACCAATCCTTCCTTTTGGAATCTTCTCAATTCCCCGTATGTTGATCTCTTCCTCTTGACCTCCTCGTCACGTTCCCCTTCTCTGTCATCTCCACTCTCTTTCTCTCCACTCTCTCTCCTCCTTTTCCTCTCCTCTCTCTCGTCTTCTCCTCCCCTCCCCTCTCCTCCTCTCCTCTCCTCTCTCTCTCTCTCTCTCTCCTCCTCCTCTCCTCTCCTCTCCTCACCGATCACCACCAGCGCCATGGCCAGCAACCAGAAGATCCATCCGCGACACCTCATTGTCGCCTCCAGCAGCTATGTCTGACCCACCCCACCCCTTACGAACCTAGGTTTCCTTTGTAGGGGTACTTGGCACACGGGTCCTGGACCACTAGAAAGCACCGGTCTAAATCAAAACTTCGGGGATGAGACATGATGAGGGTAAGGGGTATGTTTGAACCGGTCATTTTGATATTAAAATACACCGGTACTGAGGTGAAGAAAAGGGGTGGGGTACATTTGATTGGTCTCACTGAGCTGTCGGGCCCGTATCAGTGATGCCGGTCGGTCGGGCCACGCCGGGTCATCAGTACGTTACAATATGTAACGGTGAGTTGATTTGACAGTTTTAGACGCCGCAATGCGGAGCCGTGAGCTAGTGCCGGTGACGGTGGCTGCGATGATGGTAAGGAGAGAGGAGGAGAGGCCCGGGGAGGAGAGGAGAGAGGAGAGAGGAGAGAGGAGAGAGGAGAGAGGAGAGAGGAGAGAGGAGAGAGGAGAGAGGAGAGAAGAGAGAGGAGAGAGGAGAGAGGAGAGAGGAGAGAGGAGAGAGGAGAGAGGTAAGGAGGAGAGAGGAGAGAGGAGAGAGGAGAGAGGGAAGGAGAGGGAGGCAGAAGAGGGAGAAGGGAAGAGGAGAGAGGAGGAAGGAGAGCTTGACTGTCAAGTGGTGTCATCGATCTCGGCGAACTAGAGGAGTTGATCGGATCGTGTCAGGCGGCAGCATTGCTCATGGCCATGCGGTCCCATCCCGGGCCCCAAAGAGAGGAGTTGCAGGAGAGCATGGGAGATCGCTATGGGATGGACAGATACGCGAAGATGGAGCGCAAGGCAGCTGACTTGATTCACTCACATGAAGTGAACTCTGGGAGCTTGCGGGTGATGGCGGAGGAGAAGTCACAGAGAGTCTTGGCTGACATGCCAACATCAGGGTTCTAGAAACCGAGAGGCTCTCATGCGCATTCGAAAGTATGAGAGGAGGGAGCGTTTGCGACGAATCGAGGAAGAGGTGAGCAAGGGAGGGAGGCGCGGCGGTATGCAACTCAACAGGATGAAAGATTCGTCGATACGGCCTCGCTGGTGAAGAGGAAAGGCAGATGGGTGAGAGGTAAAGAATTTCCTGGTGCGTATTGTCAGGTGATGATGAGGTCAGGTCAAGGAGGGATCGAGGCAGGACGAAGGAGGGAGTGAAAGGAGCGAATATCCAGGGAGGGACGAGAGCGACGTTGCTGGTTAGTGTGCAATGAGGACGAAGTTTGGAGTTACAGGTTGAGGGCAGAAAGAGTTGAGAAGAGAAGACCAAGGTCGACTGCTACAAGATCTGAGAAACATCCAAGCAAAAGAAAAAGCTGTGAGTCTTTCTGCTTGTACCTGTCGCTCCTTCTGCCAACTGCATGCAAATCTTCGTTCATGTGTACATGGACCCCACTTGCTCTTCACTGTTCTGATTTTGCTCTCCAAAGTTTGAGAGGATCTCAAGAAAATTCGGTATCTCGCAGCAACCAAGATCGAGAAGTCCACGAGAATCTCTCGCAAGCAACCATGACCTCGCGTCCAAAGTGGTAAGTTTGTCTCATGTTCTGCTCCTGCTCTCCCCCTGTCCTCGCTCGCTTTCCCTTGTTGCCCTTTCCTTTCTTCTGTTCTTCCTCATCATGTGCAAGCATCCAATTATCACTACGCGATCATGTTTCCACTCCCCGTGTCAACTGACTTGTAAACTGTTCATCTCAAGGCCGATGAAATCATCGGATCGCTGGGTATGAATGATAAGGTCAGAATGTCTCCCTCGTCTCCGTCCTCTTCCTCTACCTCTACCTCATCCTCTTCCTCCTCCTTCTCAACCTGCTTTGTTTCCGTCTCCTCATCCCCTCACTTTCAAACCCTAACCTTCCTTTCTTCTTCATCATTCCCTGCTCCTGCCGCACGCCGTTCCTTCCAGCCCACGTCTCTTCCTCCCTCTCTTTCCTTTCTCACCTGGTCTTGTCAAACGTTTTCTCATCTTCTTGTGATTCTGAGCAGGAGGAGGAAGAACAAAACTTTTCTCCCTCGGAGGAGAATCAAATCTCCGACGCATTCTCAGGCAAAGTCTTGTTGGTCCCCGACTGTTCTCCTCCTCCTCCTCCTCCTCCTCCTCCTCCTCCTCCTCCTCCTCCTATACCCACTCCCTCCAGCTCTTTCGACCCAACCACCCTCCTCGATCCAACCAGCCCCCCCACCTCCCTCTCTCTCCGCTCCCCTCCAACCCTCTCACTCTCCCTCCTCCCCCTTCCCCGCCTCCGCAGTCTCTCGCCTCCTCCGTTCTTCTTCTCCTCCACCCTCCCATCCTCCTGCCCAGCCTCTCTCTCAAGTTCCACCTGCCCGCCTGCCTGTCTCATATTTGCCACCTCAGATTTCAACCTTGAGAGGCAGTTCTCTTTCCTTGCCAGAAATTTGAAAAAGACATGAAGACATTTCGCCGTTTCAGAACAACCTTTCACCCCAAAACCCCGCTTGTCATTAATCTTATTGTTTTCAATCTCTTAAATCTTGTGTTGTTTTCTAAAGTTTCGTAACTGCAAATCATCATCTCTCCGAAGAAACAATCTTCAACTTGTGGCAGCAGCATTAGAACAGTTATAGAAGAAGCCCAAAACTGCAATCAGGTGCCTGCGTTGTCTTCGTACGCAATGATCTCCCAGGTTGCTATTGATCGGATTGTTGAGAAACATGCGATAAGGGGAGAGGTTTCTAATCCATGATAGCAACTTCTTGATGGGAAGAAATCAGCTCAAGGCAGAAGAAGAGGTCGGAGGAAGGGAGAGATGTCACTTCTCCCCGCTGTTTCTCTCCGTTCACAAACACCTGCGGCTCGTGAGTTGATGGAGGAGGAGGAGGAGGAGGAGGAGGAGGAGGAGGAGGAGGAGGAGACAGGAGGGGAGGAGGAGGAGGAGGAGACAGGAGGAGGAGACAGGAGGAGGAGGAGACAGGAAGGGAGCAGGCTTCTGCAAATGAAAAGGCAGAAGCAGGAGGGAGGAAGGGAATGAGGAGAGGATAGATCAGGAGAAGCAACACAGAGACTATAAGAATGAGAGGAAGGGAACAGGAAAAGGAGGGGGAGGATAAGATGAAGCAAAAGTCATCGTGCTGTTGCCCTCCTGCATCCTCAATTTCCTCCACATTCCCATGCATTTTCCTCCTCCTGTCCCTCCTCCTGCTACTCCTGCTCGTCAAGCTCCTCCTGCTACTCCTGCTCATCCTGCTGGTCCTGCTGGTCCTGCTGGTCCAGCTGCTCCTCTTCCTGTCCTGCTCCTCTTCGTCCTTTCCCTATCTCCTTCTGTTCCTCATCCTCATCCTCATCCTCTCTTGCTTCTCGTTTACCTGCATTCTCCTCGACGCTCGGTCCACCCGCACTCTGATCACGTCCCCTGACTTCACGCCTGCCCAGCTGTAGCCGAGCATGTTCCTCCTTGAGAAGCGACCGATGTCGAAGAACCTGCCAGCTCGTCAACACACGCTGGGGGAGGAAGGAAGGGGAGGAGGAGGAGGAGGAAGATGAGGATTCAGGAGGAAGATGGCGGAGGGCGGAGGACGTCGAGGAAGTTGAGGAGTAGGAGAAGGTGGGAGAGGAAGGAGGGAGACAACGTTCTAGGAGGAGGTGGTTGTTGAGGAGATGGAGGTAAAAGAGGAGAGAGTAGGCGCCAGAGAGAGGGAGGGGGAGGAGGATGGGAATAGAGGAGAGAGGGAGGAGGAGGAGGAGGATGGGAATGGAGGAGAGAGGGGCGGAGGAGCTGGAGGGTCCAGACAACCTTATCAAGGACGCGAGCAACCCGGTGGAGGGGACGAGGCTCGAGATGTCTCCCTGCTCGCTAGAGCTGTAAACTTCCTCGTCGAGGTGCCAGACCGACCCGTCGCCCACCTGGTCGCGCAGGATGTCAAAGCGAGCTGGGAAACCCGCAAACACCCCGCGCACCGAGAACATCCAGCCCTCCTCTGCTGCTATTCCCTCCTTGAGGTCTTCGACGTTCGGGCTGACCCCAACCATCATCTGCAGTAGAGGTTCAGCTGAGCTCGTGCTGGGAGGGCAAGGACCGCAAGGCCGGGCTGAACGATGGTGAACTCGACCTCGCTGACTCCCTCCGAGGGAATCTTCGGCTGCAAGAGAATAGTGAGTACGATGATAATGTAGATATAGTGATGGAGATGACGATGATGATGACGACGACAACGACGACGATGACGATGTAAATGATGATGCAAGATGGGAAAGGGGGAGGGATGCAGGAAGAGAACGAAGACCAAGATGCGGAGGAGGAGGAGGACGTGGAAGTTGACAAGGAGGAAGACTGGAAGATGGAGGGGCAGGAGGCAGACCTGAAGCAAGGCAGCCTTATACTCAAAGGGCAGGTGGTTGTAGAGCATACGAATCCTCGTCCCCTCCTCGCTCCCCTCCACAGCCTGGCCGCTGCTGGACACGACCTGGATGCCCGCAAACATCCGCTGGGAATCGAAACGGAAGGAGCGAAACGCTGTCTGGATGGCCTCGGCAGCCCCTGTCGCCCTTTAGCTCCCCCCCCAGCAGGAGATTCAAGCTCACCAGAGGGTCCATCGATGCCCGACAAGTCCCCAGCTGAATTTTTCTCAGCTTCCTTGCGGATCTTTTTGAGAAGCTCTTCAGCTTTGGAGGCTTCATTCTTCGCACCGAGCTGCTGGGACTCAGCCGGGAGAGGAGAGGAGAAGAGAAGAGAGGAGGAGAGAGGCGAGCAGGGGAGAGGAGAGGAGAGGAGAGGGGTGCGTGTCAAGAGCTACGCACCCTATAGGCGTTGACGAACACGTCTCGGCTGGCTTCCACGAAAGTTTGCGCCTCTTTCAGCCTCTATTGAAGGGTGAGGTGGAAAGTTTCTTTTTCAGCTGGAGGAGAGGTCGGACCTGAGAGCCAAACGCCTCCTTTCCCTTGTCCAGCAGGTCCCGAGCCTCTCGGATGCAGCTGCCGTCCGGGATGTCAAGTTGAAATGCCGATCAAAGAGTACTGAGGAGGAGGAGGAGGAGGAGAGGAGAGGAAGAGAGAAGAAAAGAGGAGGAGAGAGGAAAGGAAGAGGAGGAGGAGGAGGAGGAGAGGAGAGGAAGAGGAGGAGGAGGAGGAGGAGGAGGAGGAGGAGAGGAGAGGAAGAGGAGGAGGAGGAGGAGCGTACATCTCGCGATCCTCGATCTCCTGCAGGCAACGAGAACGAAATTTCTCTGCTTCCTGCAGGAAATGAATTTGAGCCTTGTTGCCGACTCACACCTCTCTTCCCCGCTCTACCTCCTCCTTTGTCCCTCCTCCCTCCTCCCTCCTCCGTCCTCCGTCCTCCCTCCTTCCACCTTCCTCTTTCTCGTCCTCCTTGCTGCTGCTGCTGCTGCTCCTCCTCCTCCTCCTCCTCCGCCTCCGCCTCCGCCTCCGCCTCACCTTTAGCTCCTTGTGACCCTCTTCATTCCCGAGCTGAGCTGATTTCTGCATCACAACGTCAGTCTTGACGGCTCGGCGGTGGGCGGGGGTTCACCTGCAGCAGGTCGATCGCAGTCTGCGACAACTTTGCGGCATCCTCCCTGCTCTCCTTCACCTGGAGCCTGCGGAATGTCGACAGGTCAAAGTTGACGGGCGACCGTTGGGAATGGAGGTCACCGCGCTTTGACGAGGGCCTCTCTACCAGCTTCCAGATCTACTAGTACATTAGGAGGAGGAGATGGAGGAGCAGGAGGAGCAGGAGGAGCAGGAGGAGGAGGAGAGAAGATGGGAATGACGAAGTTGATGATAAGGGGAACGAGCAGCAAGAGGAGGAGGAAGGGGATGGAGGAGGGTTCCAAGAAGCAAGGTGTTTGAGGGAGAAGAGGGGGTCGGCGGGTCGCAACGGCTGACCTCTCATAGAAAGTTTCTTCTTTTCTTGCTGGAAACGAAGAGGAATAAGATCGGAAGAACATCACAACATCATTTACCTCAGCCTTCTTCTTCGCTTCTTCCTCCTTTGCTGCTCTTTCCTTGGCTTGTTTCTCCTTGGCTTCCTTCTCCTTCTCCTCCCTTGCCCTCTCCTTCGCTTCCTTCTCCCTCTGCTTCGCCTCCTTCTCCCTCTCTTGACTCTCCCTCTCCTCTCGCTCCTTCTCTGCCTTCTCCAACTCCTTCTTCTTCGCCTCCTCCTCCTCTCTCTCCTGTGCCTCTCTTTTCTTGGCCTCCTCTCTCTCCTTCGCCTCCCTCTCCTTTGCCTCCCTCTCCTTAGCTTCCCTCTCCCTGGCTTCCAACTTCTTCTTCGCCTCCTCCTCCTCTCTCTTCAACTCCGCAGATGCTTCTTCATCCTTCAAAGCAAGCACGTCAACACTTTCAGCAGCTCCTTCATCACGCTCGCCCTCCTCACCTTGCGCAAAATTGATTTTCCGATGGACGAGAAGTCGATCCCAAACAAAGGCTTCCTGTCCTCTACAGCAGCCGCAGGCGATCTTTCAGCCTCCCAGCTCCCAGCCTTTGTGCTAGCGGGGACATCGACCGTACCAACTGCCGTTGCATCGTTTGACGTTTTTGTCTGGCAGTCAGTCAGTCAGCTGGGAACTTTGCCTTGAGTTCTTCACCTCTACATCGGTAGCTTGCCCGAACTGAAGCTGCTGGGTCGAGAAATATCCCCCAGCAGCAAGGAGGGCCCCAAAGAGGAAGAAAATAATCTACACACTGTGTTATTACCTTGCTCTCCCTCCCCTCTTTCCTCCTCCTCCTCCTCTCCATCTTCTCTTCCTCGCTCCCTCCCTCCCTCCCTCCCTCTCCCCCCCCCTTCCTTCCTTCCTTCCTTCCTTCCTTCCTTCCTTGTTTCCTGCTCCTGCTCCTGCTCCTGCTCCTGCTCCTGCTCCTGCTCCTCCTCTCCATCTACTCCTTCTCTACCTCCTCCTGGTAATCTCATGTTGCTTCGAACTCCCACCCTTTCCCCAATTCCACACCCTCCTCCTCCATTCTACGTTACCTCCCCTCGATCTTTCTCCTCCTCCTCCTTCGATCTGATGGCAGCGCTGCTCGCCAAGTCAAGTTCTCCTCCCACCAGACTGACAACCGACCTGCCGCTCGTCTTCGTCTGAGTGGCTGCAAACGCGTCCTGCTGGCGAGTCAGCTGGTAGTTTGACAGAAAGAGGGGAAGGCGAGGAAAATGTTCATGATGAGGAGGAGGAGGATGAGGACGAGAACGATGCTGAGAGGAGGTGTGGCGAGGAGGAGGCGGAGAAGTGGGGCATCAAGATGTCAAAGTAGAGGAGAGGAGGAAGGAGGGAGGAGGGAGGAGGGAGGAGGGAGGAGGGAGGGGGGAGGAGGGAAGAGGGAAGAGGGAAGAGGGAGGAGGGAGGAGGAGAGGGAGGAGGGAGGGGGGAGGAGGGAGGAGGGAAGAGGGAGGGGGGAGGAGGGAGGAGGGAAGAGGTTGAAATACCAGAGGGGAAGATAGGAGGAGCCCAGAAGAAGCTCTCAGCAAGTCTCGTCGGCCAGCAATTGAGACCCACAGTCTCTCCTCCTCTTCCTGCCGCCCGCCACGTCCGCTCTCGCACATGCTCATGGGTCCAAGTCTGCGACGAGAGGAGGAGAGACGAGGAGCTGGTCGCGATGTAACCTGTCCTCCTCCTCCAAGTCTGTGCCGAGAAGGAGAGAGGGGAAGGGGTCCCAGGAACGCACTTGCCTGCAGGAGGATCGATGGGAAGAGGAGGAGGAAGTTGACGAAGTTGCTGCTCATGGTGAAGAACCGCAGGGCGAGCACGAGAGGAGGAGGAGGAGGCGAACCAGCGAAGTTGCTGGATGAGCAGAAGCTGCTGCAAGGACAGGGTGAGAAGGGAAGGTGGGGAGGGGAAAACGGCTATCATCACTGCTTGATACTTGACAAGCAAGCTTTTCAGCTTGACATGCCACACTGACACTACAGTTAACACCAACGTTCTCAATCGTGAGAGGATATCATAACAGGTTGATATGCTCATACTAGTCTACTACTGCCCTCAACAAACTGATCCGGATGGGAAAGTTCCTGCCACCGATGGAGCGAGCAGGTTTGACTGAGCTTCATATGTCATGCTTCACATATCATCTGCCTCTCCCGTCATCGACGGATGAGTTTCTCCTCGCACAATCTTTTCATTGCCATCCTTTCATCTTCCACCTCCAACCCTGCTCTAGTCGATCCCTGGATGCAATCTTTTCTCCTCTCCTAATGTATCTCCTCCTCCTCGCTCCTCCTCTCTCCTCCTCTCTCCTATCCTCCCGTCTCTTCACTCACTCTCCTCCTCCTCCTCTCCTCTCCTCCTCTCCTCCTCCCTCCCTCCCTATCTCCCTTGCCGTCTTTCCTCCTCTGCTGATCCTCGCCATAAGCCGCTAGGAGTGACCACCCATGTTCCCGAGCACACAAGTACCCCCTACCCCCTCTTTCAAATTACACTACCCTATGAATTGCCTAAACAAAACGGGCTAGTTGTACCCCCCACCCTCTGACCCGATAGTCTCCCCGACCGACAATGTCGGTCTTTGCCATGTTTGCGACGATGGTGATGCGACCGACTCTGGTGAGAGGAGGAGGCGGAGGAGCAGCAGCAGGAGTAGGAGGAGGAGCAGCAGCAGGAGCAGCAGGAGCAGCAGGAGCAGCAGGAGCAGCAGGAGCAGGAGCAGGAGCAGCAGGAGCAGCAGGAGCAGGAGCAGGAGCAGGAGCAGGAGCAGGAGCAGGAGCAGGAGCAGGAGCAGGAGCAGGAGCAGGAGCAGGAGCGGGTGCAGGACAGAGAGACAAAGCAACAGAGACGGAGACAGATGATAGATAGTCCAAGACAAGCACAAATGACCTCTAAATACTTCTGTTTGTCAATGCTGTCAGTTCATCGTGGACATTCTTCTCTTCTCTATTGGCGTCGGACTCATCATGCCGTTTGCCATCTTCAAAGCGATGAGACATGGGATGGGGTATGAATGCTCATTTTTGATATCTTTATCAACTACCTCCTCTCCCGCCTCCTCTCCTCTCTCCAGCTCTTCTCAAACTCCTCCTTGTCCTGCTATCTTTCTGCTTCCGTTGTTCACTGTTCTCATCCTGCTCCTGCTCCTTCTCTTCCCTCCTCCTCTTTCTTCTCCTCGTCTTGGTCCTCTTCGTTTCCTCCTCTTCTCACCTCATAGTTTGCAACAGCTCCATCACCAAGTTCGACGAGCTCTTCAAGCTTCTCATTTCCTTCCCTCTCGTGGGTTTGCGCCAGCTCCTGCTCCTCCTCTTTCTCCTCCTGCTCCTGCTTCCCCCTCCTCCCCCCCTCCC